TTTGGTTACTAGTTATTTTGAGAGTGATAGAACGGGTTATTTTGAGCAAAGCAAAGGCAGTCGTGGATTTCTTCGCCTTTGGGCAGAAACRCGTAACCCCGTTGAACCCGTGAATGGCTTGTTTCTGTCTGTAGTTATCGCTCGTTGAAGATAAGACAGATATTTAAGAGGTTATTACAAGACCATACGTCGTCTGGTTCACAGACATTCTATCACTCAATGGTATCTTAATAAGGATAATTGTGTTAATTGGCTCAGAAATTGTTTGGATAATGATGGAAAATTAGACGACGGGCTGCCTGTGGATGACGTCATCAGTTGAWTTTAGTCAAGCCACAGGAAGCCCAAGCTATTACTCAAATGTTGTTTGTACCGTCCTCTCTTTCTCGTAGCGATTTCTTGAGTCCTTTCTCGTACGTTTGTGTTTATATACGTTATAGAGTCTTATTTCCTTCTTACCAGCCTTACTTGGGTCATTGCTGCCTGCGCGCTCCACAGGACTCCCAATATCAAAATCTTAAAGGAATCCCAAATATAAAGTTTCCTTTTGAAGAGGCTATGACGTTTATASAAGACGTCAAGAAATCGCCCTTACCACACCTTCCTTTCTTCGCTCTCAGCAAAAAAWATCTTACTTCTTTGACGTCATTTCCGCTGCATGTGCCAGAATTCCCTCCCACGGGGTCATGTTCCTAGATCTCAAAGAGGCGTTTCTTATGTTCATAAGATTTCCCCGGTTTGAAACGATGCCTTCTTCAGATGTCACGCTCTTCTCTATCCCTGGCCTGCGATTCTTCAGGTAATCTAGTGACCTAATCGACCATATTTTCGACTACGCTATTTGCAAATGAATGAGGAATACTCTACAGTGAAAGAAAAAAGAATATATCCAAAAGACGGGCATATTTACCTTGGTAGTTGGATAAATGACGAGTATTTTTATCGAGTAAAAACAAAAACTTTATTTCAAACTCATGTCATAAGAATGCAAGCTATGTCGATCGTGCTACGGAAAGTCAAATCACTCAGGATGTAATGAGTTGTCGTTGTAAACTGAGTCGAAAGAACGGTTTTGAAAACACGGCGCTTTATTAAGTAAGTTCACTGATTCAATCGACATTTAGAACATGGATGATAAGACTACTATACTATAAGCTCAAGGCCAAGAATTCTGACACCGTTTTGGAGAGACAGTCTTCTTCAGGTATGACTGAATTGCCCGATTAATCATTTGACATTTTCTTGGAAGTGTGTTCTTTTTGCCAAGCAGTACGTTTGCTATTTTSTGTGCTAAAATGAGGAATATTTTTAAGTTTTAAAACTTAGAATTGCCCTAGTTAATTTTACAAAGCCGTTGTGGAATTTATTCTTGARAGGAAAGAGGTTCATCAGCAAAACACAAATCATCGGTAAAACTTCGCCACGASATCAAATAATGACTTACATAATGACCGACATTTATTATTGAGGGAAATCTTCACATTTTCCTCCTTCTTTCAGGCACGTTCGACTAGTTCTATCTAGCTTCCAAAATATCTAATTGTTTTGACAGACAATAATGTGGTTTTCAACTATCTAGTATTAGCGTTTATTTCTCTGGAATTTTTGACCGTCTTTCCCCTAGACTCTCTTGACCTTCTGAGCATCTTGTCTCTAAACTGCTGGTCCGCAAAGCCGCTAATGTTTCYTAATTGAATTCTTGCATTTTTTAACTAAAGCCAGGTCAGTTTAGATTCCTTTCACAATTAACTTGGTGCATGGCTAAGAGGAAAATATGAAAGAAATGATACAAATTTCATCGAGAAAAAAGGGCGATTTATTTTGTATTTTCCTGTTAGTCTTGTGCGCGAGAATTTTCGAAGTGGTTATTAATAGCTGGAAAGTTATTTCTTAGTATACTGTACTTAAAGTTTTATTTTGAAGTAGAGTCTTCCATGTCCGACACACACGACATTTTATGCGAGCTCGTTTCTACTAGCTCTCTAAGACATCATCGGCCAAGTCATGTTAATCGATGCCATTACAGTCTCCCACCGCAACCGTTCTTAGTGTCGTCACGCAACCAACGCTTCGTTGCGGAGCGTTGCGTGACGACACTAAGAACGGCTGAGTGGGAGACTAGTACCCCATTCACACCYAAACGAGTTTAGTTAATTAAACTATGTTTTCATTAGGAAAAAAATTGAGAAACTGGAAACCTRCAATATAATGAAACTTTCTAAAATATTGTCACAGCAAGACAAAGGATAGTTTACATGCATTATTTCACCAAATATTGTGTAGTGTTCGTAGATAGTTTTCCAAACCTGTTTAGTTAAACCACTTTTAAACATGTTTAAGCCTTGGTGTGAATGGGGTATAGGATGCTTGTGCAAGCCAAGTTTCGTGCAATCTTACCGGCAACGTGTGTGTGCGACTTATAATAATCATGTAGGATAGTACAATTTGCTATCGAGATGAAAAAGGTTTAAATTTAGACGAACGTTATCAATTTACTGAATTCGTTGCCATTGACATTACATAGGAGACACGTGTCCTTAGAAACTTYGTCTTTTCGTCATGAAAATAATTTGATTGACATGCCGTGCGTATTGAGTGCTGAGGTAGCAGTTTCAAGGAGGACGACAGTAAACAACTTTCTGACTCCAAGGTCACTTTTTATTTCGCACAAATCATCAAGCAGTTTATTTTCAATTTCTTATGGCTTTGGTTTTTGGYTACTAAGGTATCCATGACAACATTAGAAAGAAAACGATTGAAATTTGGTTTTCCACAATGCTTTTCAATCATAAAATCCTAGCAATAAATATTCCCCATGAGTCATGTGACAAAATCCAGTCCGCGCATGACCACTTGATCGCCATTCATTATTATCATCCCGGCTGTTCGATTCCCGGACACAGACCCGGCAATCATATCCGGTTGATTTGGTAGGTTTTCTCCTGTGCTTCAAGGGAATTCTTTCCAGATTCTCGGTTTTGACTATCTCTTTCTATCTTAGCCTGCGWGCAGCCTGACTTAAGCATTGCTTCGCTTGGATCGTATGTTGGTAGATAAAAATGCTCAATRCGAGCCCTCTTACGCAAACGTATATGAATTACGAAAATTTGCACTCCTAACTGAGTTGTTTTTCCCGCAGACATTAAAGTGCTTATAAGCCTTTGCACAATATTTTCAGAATTGATTCTTTAGATAGTGGATAGTTAATTGTGAAAATATTTYGTCATTTGAATGTCGGGTCTTTGAGATACGAAGGTTTATATTCCCAATATGTTAATGACTATGACGTTACATAAGGGATCATTTAATATACAGCACTGCACTCGTTCTGGAATACAGTATTTTAAAAGCATCCCCCTTTTACTCGTGACTCACGTAAAGGTTCTTACAAATTTGTTTTCAGAAAACGTCCAGCGTTCAATATTAAAA